GTGATAGGAGTCTTAAGTACTTTTTTCTTTTTTTTTTAAGTGAAAACTAGCTTTGCTGAAAGGGCAATGTCCTAGAAAGCTCTCAACACCCAAGCCACCACAGATGAATTTCATGTGCACTAATGAATCAGAGCACACTTCTTACGAAGGGAATTGCTACAGTATGTTAGCTTGTCATGCTACAAGTACTGTACTTGCAGCCCTCTGTACTATACACGGATACAAGCAGTAGGGTTGGGTAGTAGTCCTTGAGCAGAAATGGTATCCTACTAATAGTGTGTGTGTGTGTGTGTGTGTGTGTGTGTGTGTGTGTGTGTGTGTGAGAAATGAACTACTCTATAGTACAAGAGCAGAATCATAATAAGTTTGATTCAGTGCCCCCTGAAGTCAGTCTTGAGTTAATGGGCATTGAGTCAGGCTCCATATGGACACTCTGTGCTAAATGGTACCAAATATGTTACATTATGGACAGATCATAACCTCTAACCTGGTTCATTTTACATAGCAGGTCTTAGGAGCTAATTAAAACAATGGATGCTTTTCCCTCCCCCCAGGAGTATATCTTTAACATATTTAATATAGTGGTATAAACTTACACAGAGCTTTAAAAATATAGATAAAACTAATTGCCACACAGAGCTTATAGATCATGTAAAACTAAACAAGACACTGGGCAATAGCTCAAAAGTAAAAGTGTAGTGATTATTACTTGAAGAAACCATTTTTAAGAGGATTTAGAGGTACAGGGTACTCTCTGCATATTTTGAAGGTAAAGAGAAACGAACCTCAGGAGAGAAGAGGACTGGAGAGTAGCCAATCAAGGATCAGCCACGGCCAACAAAAAATAGTGCACATGCAAGTTGGCCATTTGTACTCCAAAGGCCACTAGCACTCTTCCTATGAAGTTACTGGTTACATGTAACAGTGATACAAATTGGCATATACTTTAAATGCCATCAGCATACAAATATTTACTAAATATAATTTTTGTTTTCTAAATTAACTTCATCTTCTGGATATCCCAGGGTCAGTCTGACCTTATATTGCAAACGCCTATGTCCAGGCACCACTTGTGGTTTGGACAGCAGATTGTACACTGTCATCACTTTAATTTCCTACTTTTTGTATGACGTAGCTGTGATACCGGCAGACCAGATGCCAGCTCATGTGAAGGCCCATAGGCCTCAACTGAACACTGACAAATGCATAGCTGGAAACTAGTCTGGCTCACCTGTTAGGATTGCTTCTAAATTGCTGCATGCATTAATCTTACCTTTTCACATGGAATACAGATATAAGTAATTAAGTGTTTGCTCTGAAATTGTAAATCCACCAGCCAGGAGAGAAGCATTAACGAGCGTGAAATACTAGTTTACCACAGGGGGTGTTATTTCCTGCCCAGAAAAAAGACCCATAGAACCAGACAAAGCACTGTGGAACATCAGAGGTTTTGTCATCTGATTGCTTCCCCCTCGCCCCCCACACCCATGAAGAGATCTGCATGGGGACTCATCCTATCAGCTTGAACTCTGGGGGAAGGGAATAAAAATCCTTAACAAGGAAACACTATATGCTGATTGACCTCTGAGGGGCAAGAATTACTAAGCATAAGCAAAAGATCCCCAGTGCTTGGCCTGGGTTAGCCTTCAAGGACATACAGAGCTTGGTTATTATAGAAGATCCTACCACCTTTTGAAACCTAAGACTAACTCATTTGTGTGTGTTTCTTTACCTCATAACTAATTTCTTTTTTAGTTTTATTATAGGATTGCCTACCAGCATTGTCTTTGTAATACCCCAGGTCAATGGCACCTAGATAAGTGACTGGTCCTTTGTGACAGGGAGTAACATGAATATCGCTGTGATATTTGGTGTAAGACCACTTATCACAAAGGCAGTCTTGCCTAGGTGGCAAGATAGAATGGAGTACCCAAGGGAACTATTTGTGACTCCATGTTAAGGCTGTTATAGTGCCTGGGAAGTTAACACATGATACTTGGTTAATGAAATCTAAGTATAGAACTCCCAACCAGTTTGGGGATTCTACCCTGCTTCTTGACAGTCTGCCCTCAGGTTGGTACTCATACTTCTGAGCCACTCCACACAGCTTGACAATTGCCACAACTGTGTGTGTGATTTGCAAACATTGTTGTTGGACTAAATCCCTTTCCTAGTCAGTTGCTCAGCCTGCATTTTTGAGGCATCCAGTATTGTCACTTCACTTGTTCTCCTGTTATCATAGTTTTCTAGATCAGACAGGACCTGAAATTTAAAAAAAAAAGTGTTATTTTTTTGAGGGTAAGGAGTTCAGGGGGCACATATTAGGCCTTCTTGATGCATCATAAATAGGCACTATTTGTTTTCATTTTCAGGTTTAAGCAAGAGCATATAAGAAATTAGAATCTTGACATTTAGAATAGGAGCTCAGACTGTATGCTTAAGGCCTTCCATTTCTGTCCTCAATAAAGAGTGCCCTAAAGCCATGTTTTTCAAGACACTGGATCACCGTGCTCCGGTCAGCACGGCTGACCGGGACATTAAAAGTCCCCTTGGCAGTGCTGCCCAGCTAAGGCAGGCTAGTGCCTACCTTTTCTGACACTGCTCTGCACCCTGGAAGCAGCCAGCAGCGGGTCCAGCTTCTAGGCAGAAGGACTACAGGGTTCTATGTGCTGCACCAGCCCAGAGCCTGAACCTGCAGCCCAGAGCCCTGACCCCCTCCCACACCCCAGCCCTGAGCCCTCCAAACCTGGATCCCCTCCTGCACCCCAAACCCCTCATCTCTGGCCCCACACCAGAGCCTGTACCCCTAGCCCAGAGCCCTGACTCCCCTCCCACACCTCTGCCCCAGCCCAGAGCCTCCTCCCACACCCCAAACCTCTCATCCCCAGCTCCATTTGGTCACAGGCATCAACAATTTTCTTCAGCTGGGTCCCCAGGAAAAAAAGTTTGACAATCACTGCCCTAAAGGTTAGCAAACTCAGGCTATTTCAGACCAGGGACTATCCAAATTTCAGACACCAGGATTCAGCACATCCTCATCCATCGTGATTGCAGAGTGCTAGCTTTTAGTGGTCCCTGAAACAGTGTCTACTGCAACTGTATCTCAAATCTCACACTACTGGTGTTTTTCTGTCTTTAAATTCCCAGCATCTAGAATCATGTTACATGAGAATCCCAGCCTTCGTTTAAAAAAGTTTGTAGCCCTCACGCTTGCAGAGAAAAGCTTGAAAATATGAACCCCAAAGGCTCAAAAAACAGAAGCAACTGATTTTTTTTTCAAAATCTCACGAGTTTTAAGTCAATCTCCTGATTATCGGGGGGGCAGCTGACTCTCCGCTTTCGGCTGCCTGCGGCTGGCAATGCTGCTGGAAGTGTTTGGGGACCCATGTGAATGCCCCAGTGTCCCCAGAGCCGAGCAACAGCCCTATTTAAAAATGGGACAATCTTAGTAAGAGCTGTTACTTTTTTTTTCTTTTTCAGTGCCACCTAAAATCCATTCCTATGGGGCTTTCTTTGCTGTAGCGGCAGGATTTAGCAAGTCTGGACCCAGTTCCTTTGGAAAACCAGCCTCCAAGGGCACCGCTGCCGGTGTGCCTGCAGAGGGCGCTGTGGCTCCTGCCGTGGCCGGCTGCTTGAGGCTGGGGAGCTGGGAGGCAGCGGGCGCCGCTGGAGGAGGCTGCGCGCTGGGTGTATATATAGCTCCTACCCGTGCCAGCATCTCCCCTTCGCTGTGGCTGGCCGGGTGCGATTTGAGGCTGTAGCAGGAGCCCTCGTCTGGGAGCCGGCGCGCTAGTCTCCCCCCGCCCGGACTCCCGGCTTCCCTTTGGCCTGGAGGAGAAGGCGGCTGCACCGCGGACCTAGGTAGGGATCGTGCATCCTTCCCTCCATCCCTGCCCCCGGGAGCTGCTCCCCGCGTGGCAGGGGCGGGCTGGGACTTCTCGGACCCGGCCACGCGGATGCGGGTTTCTGCGTGCGCCCAATATCCTTCCAGCCACGGCTTTGCCTGCGCAAGTTTTTACCCGCTCGGGGAATCTGCCACTGGGGGAGGGGGCTTTAGGACTCTACATCCATGGTCCTCGGCAGCACAGGACCCCCCCCCCCAGCCTAACAGTGCAAGGCTCAGCAGACCCCCAAACAAAACCAACCTTGCCACTGCCACCCGCCCCCGGCCAGCTGCGCAGGTAGCATCTTCTCCAGCCCTGGGAAATATACAGTCTCCCACCCCAATGGCACAAGGCACCTTAGCGCAAACCCCCCCCCCCAGCCCTCCCCCCGAGAAAGGGTCACACGTCGCTAATAATGGTCTAATGTGACTTCATCAGGCATTTCTAGCCTTCTGGGGCTGGGACAGATACTGCAGCATCTTGCTACTAGTCCTCGGAGTGCTGCTCATGTCACTTACACGGGTTGACGGGGGAAGCTGGGCTGGTTATAGGCGTATGATGAGGCAAAGTTAGCTGGTTAGTGTCCTAGAGGCTCAGAGTAAGGTGAAAGCCGCATCTGAAGAAATGCCAAGTCCAGGCATTCACTGCCTCCTTCACCTACCTCGCTGTGCTTAGGTGGAGCAAGCACATCTGGCGTGTGGAAGCGCTCACTGAGACCTCCCTGGGTGACCAGAAGGCTGATGCGTCAGCCTAAACTTTGAACGTTGTCCTCGCTCCTGTTACCATAGACGTATGCACATTTTTAAAGATCTTTCTTCAAGATGGCACTTCCCTGTAGGATCTGACAGGTATTGCTGTTAAGGGGCTAGATTTTTGTTTTCGGTTTGTGTAGTGCTTTGTTCACTGAGTCCACTGAGCATTTGTTTTCATTTTGCATAGAATTGCTGTAGAGAGAGCTTGGGATATGTGCTTGCACCTTCCTTGGAGGGAGATTATTTTGTTTATTTAATCCTTAGATGTTTGCATAGTAAAAGTTAATACAGAAGAAAATGCATAGAAAAGAACTTTAAATATGCCAAATGTTACATTCGTATTTAAAATATAGTAGTCTACAGATTTTGTGTGTGTGTTTCTATAGGTTTCAAAGAGAATTATTAGCTGAATATTGATAGAACTATTATTGCCTATGGTGGTGAAAACACATTTTGATATTATTCCTAAAATGCTTAGTGGGGATAAGTAATGTCACCAGGTATTATCGTATGCTCAGTGAAGAGTTCTAAGGAATCTAATGAATGAAATAGTTAAGGTGCCATTTACCCCTGTACAACAGCATCCGGATGAAGACCAAAGGTTGCCTGGTTGTGCTCACTTTTAACAGCAACACTGCTGGGTGTCTACTGACCAGTGCAGAGCATCCACAGCTCTTGGATTCAATGGAGCTGACCTACTTTACTTCTGGGTCAGATCATCACCTGCATGGTGGTCAGACTTCCTTAGCAGCACCTAGTTACTTTAAGAGTATAAACAATAATAGCTACTGTGGATTATAAACTGGCATATATCTTCAGTCATGGTGGAAATAGATGACAAAATCGTTAAAGATAGAGGACCTGACTCAGCAATCCCTACTCAGACAAAACATCCATAACTACAGAATAAGGTCATAGTTAATCTTCCCCCTACATTATTACAGCATGGTAGGGACCAGTGTAATTTTCTAGGGGCAAACCACTGAGGCTCTTGTCACTTATTGTCTGACTTTAAATAATTTAGATGTCTATAAACAACTTACTTTGAACAATACATTGTTTTTGCTATTGTTAGAAATATTTCCTGCTATTAGTGTAAAGTATTTGTACACCCAATGGTATACTTTGCAACACATGGGTATAAGATTGTTACAAAGGCACCTGGTAGCAACTCCATAATTAAAATTACATTTTGAAATAAGGCATAAATCCCTGTTTTTGCCTAAATATAGGTGGCCACTTGGAATGAGACTTCACACAAGGTTAGGTTTTATGTCCTTCAGGTTTTCTGGTAGACTTCAGTTGGTTTCTATACGTTAACTTTGAATATTTTGCCTTGCATTTGGGCTACCTGAAAATTTTCCTTGATAGGCTAGCTTTTTCATTGTTGACTAATGTCTCTAAAGAACCATTGCTTACCAATACAACACTTGGGAGAAAGGTGGATCCTGACTAGATCTGGTGCGAAGGGGTGGGTTTTTTAATTTTAAAACTGTGGGGTTTAGGATCACTTTAGCTATTATTCACATAGAACAACACGTTTACATTCCGTGCATGTGAATCTGATTGATGGGGTCTGGGTGTACAGAAACACAATTTGTCAATTTACTTTACAGCAGGCATTCTCCCATGGTAAAGTTCCCTAAATGTCTTGTATCCATTGTTTTATTAATGGTGGTTGTGGGGACTTTCATAATAAGTTCTCCCCCCCCGCCCCACCAAAGCAAGAGCTACATTTCTGAAGCAATGTAGTATTGCACATAGCACCAGAACTATAGGGTAGCATTAATACAATATTGCCAAAAGAGCTTGCAGATATAACTTCTTATTGGTGGAAGCAATAGTTTGTTTAGACTAAATAGCATTTGTCATAACATACTAGAGTTAGAAGCAGTCCTTGTACTTAGGAGCAGTGCACCCCTGTGTCAAGTTGGTGCTGCAGGTGAGCCCCTGCCATGTTAGTTTTCCATCACCTGTGATACAAAGTCCAAGAAGTCCTTTCTAATCTTAAAAAGATGCACCCTCATCAGTGGATATGGCTTTAACAGAAAAGGACAACACAAAACCAAAACACAAGCTTCAGACAGCTGCTCCACCAGAAACTCTCTACCTCCGGGTTAATCAGTGTTATGTGTTGTCTCTCTAGCCATGGAGCACACACTCAGGCTAAATTCCCTGCTTGGATCTTAGGCCTCTGCTAAGTGATCAGCCAAATGCCACTCTTCTCCTGACAGTGCTGAGAAGTTCCAAGTAGCTCCCAGGAGGTCGCATGCCTAGTTTGTTGTTCTGGGCTGCTTTGGGCCCTTGTTTGGGAGCAGTTTCAAAGCTGTTAAACTGGAAAAACAAAGGCTGCAATACCAAGGTTTGGGTGCAAGATCCAGATGTGGGTATGGGGGAAAAGAAGTGACTTTTTGCCACTTTTTGGATTCCCTGGACTCTGCTGCTCTAAATTATGCCTAGATAAAATGGCCCTTTGAGAGTGGCCCTTTGGCAGCCACTGTATCAGCCAAGAGCTGCCTGAGTACAGAGATTCTCCAACCATGTTCTCTTCCATGGCACACCTTGACATGCCCACTATGCCAAGGGCTGAGTGGGAGCATGTTGTTAGAGCTCTTTCTGCCACCTGAGATTCCTCCAATCTGGGGCAATCCTCATTTTGCTGTTTAAACTGACTTTATAGCCCTCTTTTACTGCCAGGGCAATACAAAGGGGCTACAGCAGATCTGAGGAGCTTTATATTTGCTGATTTAAAAAAAAACAGCACAGCAATACTGTAATGGCATTAGCAGGTGCTGCTATGCCACAAGTAGGGGTGAAAGCTAAAGAGAAAAATGACAATTCAGGGCATCGTAACAGATCTACACAGCCTTGGCAGGATTTGCTGATGCCAACATTCCAGAATCATTATGATGGGTTGTGCAGAGGGAATGTTTACTGGTATCTTGAGCTTTAGATAAGAATTCTAAAGACCTGCTCACCAGATAGTTTCACTCTATACAAGACCACCTTCAAGTATTGTCTCTATGGGTGCTCACAAGAGGCCATACTGGGTCAGACCATCTAGCTCACTATCCTGTCTTCCAACAGTGGCCAATGCCAGGTTCTTCAGAGGGAATGAACAGAACAGGTAATCATCAAGTGATCCATCCCCTGTTGCCCGTTTCCGAGCTTCTGGGATACCAAACAGAGGCTAGGGACACCATCCCTGCCCATCTTGGCTAATAGCTATTGATGAACCTTTCCTCAATTTCATCTGCATTTTGTTGCCCAGTCACCAAGTTTGGTGAGATCCCTCTAATAATTCGTAGTCTGCTTCAGACTTAACTATCTCAAATAGTCTTGTATCATCTGCAGATTTTGCTACCTCACTGTTTTTTGCCCCCTTTTCCAGATCATTCTTACAGTTAAGTGTTTTCCTGAGATTTAATTTAAATATGCTGTTCTGTAGTTTCAACCCATTGCTTTTTGTCCTGCCTTCTGTGGCAAGAAAACAACTTTTCTCCATTTTTTTTCTTTTATGGCAGCCTTTCAAGTATTTGAAGACTATCATCTCTCTTCTTCCCCCCCCCCCATCTCTTTTCCAAACTAAACATACTCACATCCTTCAGCCTTTGCTCATGCCTTGCATTCCATCCGTTTGATCATCTTTGTCTCTCACTTGTGGATCCTTTGCAGTTTCTTTACATCTTTCCTATACATTGGACACAGTACTTCAGCTGAGGCCGGACTAGAGCAGTACTATCCCCTCCCGTGACTTGCAGGCTATGCTTCTGTTAATGGAACCTAAAATTGCATTTGCATGGCCGTCCTTTTTTTTTTTTGTCAACAGCATCACATTGCTGACTCACGTTGAAATTGTGATCTACCCCAACTCCCAGATCCTTCTCAGCGCTGCTGCCAAGCTGGTTATCCCTCATTCTGTATTGTTGTTTCTTTCCTAAGGGTAGCACCTTATATTTTTCTTTGCTGCATTTCATTTTTGTCCATAGCCCAGTTCTCCAATTTATCAAAATCCCTTTGAATTTTAGCTCTATCCGCCAAAATGTTACCAATCCCCGCATTCCTCCCCAGGTTTATCTGCAAATTTGATCAGTGTGCTATCTATTCCTACATCTAGGTCATTAATCAAAATGTTAAACACAGGACCCAGAACAGATTCCTGTGGACCCCACTTGAGACCACCTTCCAATCTGACATCAATCCATTAATAGTTACTCTTTGTTTG